CGTCGGCCTAGTCGACGCCAGCGCTGACGAGCTGGCCGGACGTCAAGTTCCAGGCCTTCTTGCCTTCTCCTGGGAGCAGCGGCCTATGGTTTGCTCGGTCAGCACTACGTCGCAGTGTACATCGTCGCCCTGCAGGAAGTCACAAACAAACAGCCGAACCGAGACGCGATGGATCTCAAGTGGGTTGTTATGGGCACGCAAAAGGTTCCCGGCACGCACAACATTTCCAGCCATGGTGTGTTCCGAGCGACTCAGCGCGCACAGCGACGTGTCTGTCATGGGGGAAGAGGAGACAGGATGGGGCATGAGTGGAGCCATATGCACACCTCTCGGCAAGTGGCGCCGCGACGGCAAACAGGTGTGCCACTTGTTGGACGCAGAGAGCCAATCGCACAAGCTGGTGTGCTAATCTTCGCTCGGCTCAGAGATGTTCGCAGCATGCGGCGCAGCCGACATACTGCAGGTGCACTTCCTCGCGCTGTGCAAGATGGTGCACGGCCCCGCTTCTGCCGAGGAGAGTAGGAGGCAGAGGGGGGACGGAGGCGATCCTTGCAGATCTCGTCATCGTCGACATGCCCGTCTTCAGCGCCCTGACCATTGGCCCGGTGCGGCCGCTTTCCGATAATAGCATGGCCAGCCACTTGCGGTGGTTAGCCGGTTAGCCGATCAGCTGCGCACCACGCAAATTGAGGATCTGCTCCGGACATGTGGGACGACCCCCAAACCAAGGGCAGCATGGGCCAGGAAATCATCCTCAGTGATATGGGCGGCCCGGTCAGCTATGACCATGACACGATCGAGTTCAGCGACGAGAAAAAGAAGGCCGCCGCGATCTCCCAGCGCAATTGTCTCACCCAGCAGTGAAGACGCGACTCGTGTGACTGTGTCGCACGGCCGAGCACCATAACTCTGCTCATCGGTACACAGGACCTACCCAGCGGCCACGGGATCGCCAAGTTTCGCGGGCAACCACAGCGAAGGATCACGTGGACATTGGGCAATTGTTTGGGTGTTGCTCCAGTTGACCGTGCCATCTGAGCAGCAGCGGTTTGGCCTACGTTCCATTCGTAGTCTCGTGGGCGCGGTCAGCAGAGCGCCCAGCGCAGTCAAGTCTGAAGGGTGCGTTCAGCAGATCCACCCCTTGCAGAAGCCTGGAGTCTCGCTTCGAGGTTTCCTGTGCGGCTCGCGCACGGGAGGCCATCGAGCCACAACGGACTCGCTTGGCCACGAGACTCGACCGGTAGTGTTAGCTTTATCGCCCAATCCTTGCCTGTGCCGTCAGTGTTTTGCTTCTGCGGCCATTTACAGCATGGTCAGGCTACATGCCCGTCTGAGACGTGCTCTGCATCCCTCCGTTCCGCTGTGCAAAAGACCCGTTTGTTGTTCACCTTCATCTCATCCAACCTCATATTCCCCTGTTCTTCTCTCCACGACGACTTCGGCCCGAAGCGCTTAAGCAAAAAGTCCTTCGCCTCCTAATCCGCGTAGCCCCCAAGCGCACGCGCCATTAGCTTGGAGCCGCCATGGCCGGTGTCCGCCTGCCTAACGATCTCAGCATGGAGAACCGGCAGGAGCGCAATTTCAGCAAGGACAGCGTGCACGGTCGCGATGCCAACCAGGACTCTCTTCAGGCCTATTGGCAGAAGAGGATATCAGAGGAGAAAGGATGTTTCATGAAGGAGGCTTAGGACACAGTCGTTCGGATGTGCTTGGCTTCTTTATGGGAAAATCCAAGGATCTCTGGAGGAGGATGGGGGAGGAAGGGATTGAGGGTGGGATTGTTTTTTTGGCGTCCGAAAGGGTTTCAGGATGTTCTTAGGCAGTGTTATGGAGCCCTCCTGCGGATATCGGTTGAGAGGAGAATCTGGCATCGTCTGTGCTGGGGCGCTGCCGTTCAACCTCAAGATTCTCTTTGAGCCTTCTCGCCCGCGCAGGTAGCGCGTTCCAGAAAGGGCCCCGGCTTCGGTGAATTTGGCCTTCGGCGGGAGCTGGCGGAAGGCCGGCAGAAGTAGAACGGCGGCGGTTCCGTTGGCGGAAGCCTGGCGCAAGGCGGCGGAAGGTATCGTGATGTGCGGCATTTGGTTGTTCAGGAGGCTCGGAGTCGGCAGCGGATCCCAGCCTCCCCGCCACGCGAAGATTTTCGTTCTCCCGATCTCGTGGTGGGTCCGCCCCGCAAGATCCGCACGAACGATATACACGTACATACACATCTGCATACCTACCTTCCGACTTACGGACCTATCTACCGACCTACCTGCCACCTACCTACCTGCCACCTGCGTGAGTACCTACGTACATATTGACATACATACCTACCTACCTACCTACCTACCTACATACATACATACATACATACATGCCTACATGCATGCATACATGCATACATGCATGCTCACGTACGTATGTACGTACATACACACACACGTACGTAACATTACACAAACATTCACACACATACATACATACGTGCGTACATACACACACATGCATGCGTGCATACATGCACACAAGGCTACATACATACATACATACATACATACATACATACATACATACAAACATACATACATATATACATACACAATACATGTATATATACATGAATACACATATGTCTGCCTGCATGCATACATACATGCATGCACATATGCCGACACCACTACAGACCTACAGACCTGCGGACCTACAGACCTACAGACCAGCAGTCCCACAAGCCGACATACCTAGATAATTAACTGCATACATTCGTACACGCAGACATGCATGTATGCATGCATGCGTACATGCATACCTGCATACATGCACATATGCATGCATATATGCCTGCACACCTGCATACATGCGTACATGTATGCATGCATGAATGAATGCACGCAAATATACGTACGTTCATACTTCCATACATACATACATACATACATACATACATACATACATACATACATACATACACACATACGTGTATCTATACACACAAGGGGCATATACACATATACATACATATATGTATGTATATACACATGCATGCACACATATACATACATATATGTATATATGCATCTGGTGGGTACATACATATACGCACACACATGATGGCGTCGTCAGCTTTTGGCCAGAAGCGTCCATCCAAGGGGGACCGCTGTCGGTCTGGGTTTGCTGCCGGGTGCCGTCCCCGTTCTTGTTGTGCCTGCTGCAGGTGCCAAGGAGCTGGGGCGCGCGTCCCCAGAGCCCGTTAGGGGAAGTCCCCGCGGCGCACACGTGCCAGAGCGCAAGCCCGCAGTTCCCCTCGCCCTCATCATCCTCCTTCCTCCTCTCTCGTCCTCCTCTCCGCTCCTCTTTTGCCCGCGTGCCCTTCGTGAAGTCAGTTCTCCACCACCTCATCCTCATCCTCGTCCTCATTTGTTGGCACGCGCCCGAGGTTAAGCGGGCCCTCCTCGTCCTCCGCCACGCGCCCTGAGCAGAGTCAGTCCTTCTCCTCATTCATCCGCTTCCTCTTTGGCAGTGTCATCTTCCTTGGTCACGCGCCCTGCGTGAAGTCAATTACCCTCGTTTTCCACTCTCGCATCGCGCCCTAAGTAGAGCAAATCCTCCTGCTTCCTCTCACCTTGATCATCCAGGCGGCGTCAATGAGCTCGTTCATAAGGAATCAGATCAAGATTATGATGCAGCCGTTCCTAGACCACGTAGAGTCCAACGATAAGCGGATCGACGCTCTCGAGGACCTCGTTGAAGCTGCCGACGACAGGATCACTGGCAACTTTCAGGAGCTGGACGCCACGAAAACCACTTTGACGGCCACGGTCGAGAACCTGCGATTGACAGATCGGCGCGTCGAGGCCCTCGGCGCAGATGTCCAAAGGTGCGCCGAGCGCATGGACCACCTGCAGCGGGGTGTCCAGGTCGCCAGCGAGCACACGGAGCGCGTGGAGACACAGGTGCGCAGCGTGTCCTCGGAGACGCCGGCGCTGCGCCGTTCCTGCGACGACCTCAGGACGCAGCTGCAGGCGCTGCACACGGAGTACAACCGACTCGCTGGAATCAGCGACGGCGTTGTGAAGACCCGCTTGGACTCTCTGACCGAGGAGATCGCGGACCTGAAGGTAAAGCAGGAGAAGTCCGAGAGCGCGGCCGAGAAGCTGTACGGCGAAGTCGTGGTGGAGTCGCGGCTGCTGCACGACACGCGGCAGGAGCTCCACAGCACCAACAGCTCCCTCGGGGCGGCCCAGCAGACGCAAAGGGATATGTAGTGGCCTTCGGCCCATTCCGCCACAGTGCCTGAGTTGTGGGTCGCATTCCTCTAAAATGCTCGTTGGGATGTCACGGGGGGCCGTTTGGAAGCCTTTTGGGAGCCGTTTTGGGGCGCCTTGGAGCGCCTTGAGGGCCTCGTGGGGGTCTCTTGGGGCCTCTTGGGGGCCTCTTGGCGCCTCCTTCGGGCCTCCTGGGGGCCTCTTGCCCTTTTGGGGGCCCTTCTTGAGACCGCCTTTGGGTCCTCTGGAGCCGTCCTGGGCGCCTCTGGGGCCATCTTGGAGCCCTCTTGGGCCGTCTGGGGGCCCGCTTGGGGCGGTCCTTGGGGGCACCTTGGGCCGTCTTGGAGCGATGGAAGCTCGACAAGTCGAGGACCCCCAAAATATTGGAAAACCCACTGGGGATCAATGCTTTTGGCGTCTCGAGACCTTCTTGGGACGTCTCTTGGGCCGTCTTGGGGCTCTCTTGTGCGTCCTGGACCGCTCGAGCGGCCATTCGAAGCCCTCTGGGACCGTCTTGGGTGCCTCTTGCGGCCCTCTTGGTCCGTCTTGGGGCCTTCTTGGGCCGGAAAAAGTCATGCGACAAGACGCCCAGGCACGCGACGGGCCCCAGGGGCTCCGCGACGCGCCACGGACGATTTAGCGATTTTCGGTCAAGGCCCCTGAAAGAAGCCTCAAGATTGAGATTTGAAACTGAAGGGACTATGCCAAGGACCTGTGGACGCTCCAACTCGTGCCTCAAGGCCACGGTGGCGGATGATCATGCGCGAGAAGGAGTTTGAGCGCCGGCTGGAGGCATTCAATGCCCAGTGGAACAAGCTGCAGCCCGTGGTAGACGGCCTCAAGAAGGACGCAGCGTTCCTGAAGCAGACCGCCGAGTCGCATGACGCTTCCATTCACGGGGTCCAGAGGGGCCAGCAGAATCTCACGGAGTGCGTCGATAGCCTCCACGCCGCCCATGCGAAGATGAGCGTGGAGCTGGACGCCGCGCAGCGTGCCCTGAAGCAGACCAGCCAGGCCGTGGCGGTGACCCAGGACAACCTCGGCCAGAACGCCAGCTTCGCCAACAACCTCCACAGCAGGATCGACAGGGCGGCCGCCGAGCTCAGCAGCACAACGGGGCAGCTGAGGGCGCTCGAGGGAAAGCACGAGGCGCTCTCCGATGTCGTGGACAAGGCGGTCGAGAAGCAGGGCCAGCTGGTGTCGGAAAGCCGCAAGGAAGCTCAAGAGGTCGCGCGCGTGCAGCGGTGTCTGGATACGACCAATGACAGCATGGCCTCCATGGCCAAGCAGCTGGAGGTAATGAACAGGGGCCTGAACGGTTTCAAGGGCGAGCTAGGCTTCGCGACGGACCGCGTGACCAAGACGGAGCACTCTGTGAAGGAGCTGTACGGCGCCTGGCACGGCCTCCAGAAGGGCTTCGTGGACAGCGGGCAGGACATGGGTCCCTCCTTGGCGTCCAAGAGGACCGGACGGCTCCCGAAGGTTGGCTCGCCCTCGGCGGGCAGCACCATGGCCGGCACCCCGCGCACGCGCGACCGCCTCGCGTTCTTCCCGGGAGGCGACGGCACCACCTCGCAGGACACCCGCAGAGGCATGCAAAGGCCGCCTGCGCACCACCAAGCCACGCCTGGCCAGGCCTGGGCCCCAGGGGTGCTGCGCGGCAGGGTTTCGAGCCAAGCGGTGTTCTGGCGAGTTAGGGGGACTGTTTTCGTTCTGGCTTCGAGTCGCAGCAAGGGCGGAACGAAGACAGAACGAGGGAAAACGAAGACAAAACCGAAACGGAAAAGCACTGTTTAGTTCGAGCCCAGCTGTGTGTGGAACACCCCCCCTTGGCTTCGGCCAGGAGGGCGGACTCACTGTGCCCGGGTCCAGCATGGCGCTGGCCAGGCATGGCGGTGTGCGGGTGCCGTCCTCGCAGGAGGCATGGGGGGCAAGCCCGATGTCGAGCAGGGCGGTGACAAAGGACTCCTGTTGAGCTGCGCGTGCTTTTCTAGTTTTGCGTCGCGGGAGACTCCTCCCACCGGGACGATCTTCCCTCCTCCCTCCTCTTCCTCCTGCTAATTCTTCTCCCCATCCTTCTCCTCCTCCTCCTCCTCCTCCTCCTCCCCCTCCGCCTCTTCCTCATTTCTTCCCCACTCTCCTCTCGTGCCTCTTCACGTATTCGTTCTTCGTCCCCCCCCCCCGTCCTTTACAATTACTCAATATGAATACTACTCTCCCTCTTCCCCTGATGACGTGCTGGGAGTGTTCGCCCCCCCCGCGTCCTGCTTTTTTACACACAGGATTCCCGGGAGTTGGGTTTTCGCCTGCATGTTTTTTCAAAATGCTGCTCTCGCTGAGGCGCCGGCCTCATTTTCGGGCCCCGCTCGTTCCGAATCGTGCTCCCGCTGCAGCGCTGGCCTCATTTCCGTGCTTCCGCTCGTTCCGAATCGTGCTCCCGCTGCAGCGCTGGCCTCATTTCCGCGCTTCCGCTCGTTTCGACTCGTGCTCCCGCTGCAGCGCTGGCGTCATTTCCCGTGCCATGCCACAGCACACGCGCACACACGCACACACACACACACACACACACCACACACCACCACCACCACCACCACCACCACCACCACAACCACCACACCACCACCACCACCACGCACACACGCACGCACACGCACGCACGCACGCACGCGCACCACCACCCACTACGCACGCGCGCGCGGAGCCACAGGTCCGCTACGACACGCGTCCGCGGATAGAGAAAATGAGCGCCATGGTAAGGGATGGGAGGGAGGGGTAGGACGTCAGATATGACGCGAGCGCACCTAGCTTGTATCCCCTCCCCTCTCGTCCTTCCTTTCTCCTCCCACCCCCCCCTCACCGCCTCCCTTTCCCTGCAACGTCCTCACGCTTCTTACTCCACCCCCCTCCCTCCCTCCCTCCACCCTTTCATGTCTCCCTCCTCCCTGGACCAGACGACGCACCAGCCGCCGCCGCACCGGTTTTGCGCAGAAGCTTTTCCAGTGCCGACCCCGCTCCTCCGGGCACGGGTCGACCAGTGCATCTGCGCTTCGGTCGGCGTGGTCGACGCGTGCGCGCGCAAGCGCGGGCGCGCCCTCTCATTTTAGTCAGCGCTGCGTTCGGTTCGTCGCCTTCGTTGACTCGGCGCCCTACCTCGGCGCAGCAGGGCCGCCAGCCTCAGACGACGCGCGGGCGCGCAAGCCAGCCTGTTGGAGTGTGGCGCGTAGGCTGGGAGCGAGGTTCGGGGAGGGAGACGGGAGGCTCGGCTCGAAGAGCGAGGAGGGAGTTTTGTGGGAGGAAGAGGGAGCGGAGGTGGGACGATATCGGAGAGGGGAGCAAGGGAGGAAAGAGGAGGAGAGGGCAAGCTCATATCTGACATCCTGCCCCTTCCACCCATCCCTTACCATTGCTCTGATTCTTCTTTATCCGCCAACGGGTGCCATATCCTACCTGGAACCCTCAAGAGGACATCGTGTCAATCGCACTCGAAAGAGAAGGGGGTGGCGGATGAGCACAGGAAGAGCATGAGGAACATGATGAGGATGAGGAAGGCGGATCACGTGGAGGAACAGCAGCCGCAGGAGCAGGAGTACGAGGAGCAGGAGGAGCAGGAGGAGCAGGGGAAGGGGTCGGCCGGGGGGAAGGAGCGGGGCGACAACGACGATGAAGGACCTGGATCCAGAATTCTGGCCCGCGCCAGGGCGCGGGCGCCATTCTGAACGGCGGGGACAAAACGTCGCTCCGAAACTGAGGCCAACGCTGCAGCGGGTGTGAGAAACAATGCGCGGAGGGGGCGTTAATGCTCGCAACATGATCTCGGGGGAGGAGGGAGAGCAGTACGCATATCGGGTGAGCGTATCGAGCAAGTGCGAAGCACAAGGAGAGGCAGGAGGAGCTGGAGGAGATCGAAGCGGAAAGTGGTGATCACTAGGAAGAGGAGGAGAAGGAAGGAATGTAGAGGAGGAGGAGGAGGAGGAGCAGGAGGAGGAGGAGGGGGAGGGGGAGTGGGAAGAGGAAGAGGATCATGATAATGATCCTCCCTGATCTGCAAGCATAGCGATGCCGCAAGCACGTGCTGCGCAAATGCGCGCATCGCTGTAAAATCTCCACAGACCGGGCCGCCGTCACAGGTCCTAGCCCGGAAGTCCCCCTCTCGGTCACGGGGTCCTGGGTAAGCCACATGTGTCGGACTTTATGGGGGTCCCTCCTGACAAGAGGTCCCCACAGGCCCTTTGGCCCGCTGCGCTGGGCCGCGCAGGACCGCGTCCGTCACTTGCTGTTCCGAAGATGGCCTCCAAGACGGTCCACGTGTGCCTCCGAGACCGCTCGAGGTGGCTGCTGACCAGAGGCGATCCCCCCGCGGAGAGGCCGCCATCCCAGAAAGTCTGAGGCCTCTGGGCGCGGAGATGCCGGTTGATCCAAGCACTTCAGGGCGGAGAGCCTCCCTGCGCGGACAGGCCGGCCCATGCAGAGTGTCGTCGTGCGTCAGGCCTCCAGGCGCGGACAGGCGAGGGCACAAGAAGACATCCCTTGAGCAGAAGAGTCCGTGCGCGGATCTGCCTGCGCACTCAGCATCTATATTGTTGGACGCTGCGTTTCTGGGTGATTGGTCAGGACAGGAAGTCTCCAAGCGCGGACGAGGCAGTGCACCCAACACCATCTTCACGTGGGAGGCTTCCAGGTGCGGATAGGCTAGTGCACCCAAAACCTCCACTAGAGTCGCATAGGTGTTCTGGCACGGGTAGGCAGCTATACCTGGCGGGGAAGGGGTGAGGCGGAGAGGATGAGCAGAAGGGAGGTCACGGAGGAGGGAACAGGAACAGGAACAGGCTATCCCACGTAGTGGTTCAGGAATTACTGGCCACGAGTGAGCTTCTCAGCTTTACTGAGAGCTTTCGGCCACAACCCATCATCAATACGAGACACACATTCTCGGCGATGGGGGTCAAGCTTATGAGAACATGGTTTCGACAGCTCACGCATAGAAACATGAGCATAGGAACCACAAGCCTGACAAAACACAAGATTATGGGCCCTCTGGAGCCTCATCGAACGTACAGGAACCCGAGTACAGGACCACGTTGAGGCCGACCGCGAAGGAGAGGTGGTAGCCGAAACTTCATAACATATGCACCATTTGCCGACCAGCACACGGCCTCCAGCCACACGATCTTCACTGCTGCGGGCAATTCTCGCCCGTAGGAGGGATGCTCCCCGTTGCAGTCCCCGTGGGCGTCGGCTGCACGGACTCTGCCACTGCGCCCCAGTCAATTTTTGGCCCCGTCTGCACCGCGGCCCGCCTCGGTCCTCGTAACACCTCCATGTCGCCGAGGAGCCGCTCGCGCTCCGCGCTGCCTGCCCAGCTCGCCGCAGCGGCCAGCGGTTGGGCAGTCATCCCCCGTAGGGGCCCTGGGGCCGCGCCCTCGGCGCCAGCAGCTGGCCCGTCCAGCGGCACGGCAGCGGTGCCCTCTCCGCGCTTCCGACAAGCATCCTCCCCGCCAGTGGGCGTGGCTTGGCCTTCCGCAGGGCTACGAAGGGCGCCTCGAGCTTCGCGAATCTCGCCGAGCACGTTGCCATCCATCGGCTCGTCCGTCTCCGCCTCGGCTTGCATTGCGGCCTCTGCCACGGCCGTGGAGGGCTCTCCAGCTGTCGGCGGCGCTCCGCCGCAGCCGCCAGCCTCGCCGCCGCCGCCAGACGCGGGCTCGCGCAAAGCCTCCAGTGCCTTGGCCATGGCCGCACCAAAGCGGGAGATTGCCGAGCCACGGTGGCTGGCGACTTCCGCGAAGGCGCCGAGGAGGCGCGCAGCAGCGCGGGCGTCCGCCCGGCGGTACTGGGCGCGTCTCCCGGCCGCCGTGCGGTTGGGCCGCCGACGCGGCGCCGCCGCCGCAGGTGCCTCCATCACGACGCTGGGGGAGGGGGAGGCGGAGGCAGGGCGAGGGGCCCCGTGGCGCGGGCTCGGCGAGTCGAGCGGAATGCTCGAGCCGAGCTGGCCATGAGGTCACGGAGGAGGGAGGATGGAGGAGGAGGAGGAGGAGGAGGAGGAGGAGGAGGAGGAGGAGGAGGAGGAGGAGGAGAGAGCAGGAGGAGGAGAGAGCAGGGGGAAGAGGAGGAGGAGGAAGATCCGACATCCTACTCCCCCCAACCATCCATTATCACTGTGCTGACGTTTTCCTTATCTGCTAGCGAGGGTCATAGCAGACCTTGAAGCCCCCAGATGACGTCACCGCGTCATGCGCAAGCAGAAAGGAGATCTGTGTACTTTGGAGGAGGTGGAAGAGGAGGTGGCGGATGAACAGGAGGGTAAACAGTAGGATGAGCAGGACGACGAGGAGGGATGATGGGGTAAGAGGAGGAGGAGGTTGAGGATGAGCAGGAGGATGAGGAGGAGGAGGAGGAGGAATAGCCGCAACAAGCGGAGAAGGAGTAGGAGGAGCGGGAAGAGCTGGACGACCAGGGGAACGCGGACTGCGATCTAGGGCAGCCGACGAGGAAGGACCCCGACCCAAAAATAAGGCCCGCGCTGTGGCGATTGCGCCAGCCTGAACGACGGGAGCAAAGTGCCGATCCTCTTGTGAGGCCAACGCTGCAGCGGGAGCATAAGCTTGAAAAGCGGCAACGCTACGACTGAACATACTCATATGAAAGAGCACTGGTTTCGAAGCCCTGTGCTTTCGTGATTGACAACCAGCGTACATGAGGCAATCGGCCCCACTTGGGATTGACCTAGGTAGAGAGGCGAGTAGCTTTTACATTGGTAAGTAAAGAGGGAAGGAAAGAGGACGAGGATGACGATGAGGAGGAGGAGGAGAAGGAGGATGAGGGGGGAAGGAAACTGAGGAGGAGCGGAGAGAGAATAGAGAGCAAATATAATGAGGATATGTAATGTTTCTACTCCTTTTTCACACCTGAACGGCCTCCACGTCACATCGTGTTCCCCAAGGTGGAACGCAAGGGTTCAGAGGAGGTGAGTCTGGCGGA